CGTGCAAACTGACAGCAAATAAGCAAGGACCCTGATTTAGCGGCATTTGGAGAAATAAAACTTCTAAAAGTCAACATGACAGCTGACATAAGTTCGCCGCTAGGCGGCAGGTAGGTGGTCTTTTTTTTTCTGTGGGTCAGAAGAGTGTTTATCTGTGAGCGCGAACGCAAAAGGGCGGAGTGTGATCTCGAGAGAAAAACAGATTGCCTGCAGTCTAGTTTGTCGTGAGGACTAATTGACCAATTTCGGTACAGCTGTTTTGAGAAAGGTTGTCCCTCGAAAGCTTATAAGCGTACGCGACAATGTCGAAAGGTTTTATGGTAATGGTGGTTAAGGTCTTGATTGAAGCTGCAAGGTGTTTCAGCTTGATAGAAAGAAACAGCGCAAACACGTGTACTCATGCCTCTCTTTCTTTCTTGCTGAAACACCGTAAACCTGATTTTCAGGAACCGGTTTTCCCAAGTTATGATCAGGAATAAGCCTAAATCACACTGAAGGAGAGATTCGGCCCTGCTATATTTTTCTGGTTAGTTTAACTGGTGCGATTTCACACGGAATTTTTACAAAATGCGGCTTTTTGTCGGGCATAAGTTTACCCCAAACCTTGCTTCTCGGAAATTGCATGATTTCGCCAAACCGAACGTCTTGGGCGCATAAGGGTGGTAGGGGTGGAAAGTAATGCAGTATATTCTGATCCAAGCGATTTTCTGGACAGTATCTAATCACGCTAACTACAATTCCACAATTAAAAAATGGAAGTCGCCGAGCTCGTTTTTTAGTAATATGCACCTAGGGCTAAAATTAAGCGTGTTTTAACAGCTGCGTAGTAATCTATTGTGCCATGAAGATGACCAGAACTTAATTGTTCGCCAGCCACTGGGCATTTGCGTGAGTTCAACATCGTGGCCTCATCTGGTAAAGAGCGGTAGTACTGATCCATCAAATTATAATTATATAAGTGATGGAATGAGCTTTGAAACTGTTGTCAACCACCTCATCAAAATTTCTAAGGGACACTGGTGATGCAGCATGACATTTTCAATCACGTTCATTTGAGATAAGGTGTCATTTATTGCCTTGCAAAGCTGTAATTAAATTGAATTTACAGACTTGATGTCTTCCTAATTCTGTCATTACAGGATTGTAACTTTCCCTGATAGCATTTTTCTTAGCAAAAACTAGCAAGTTAAGGGCTAGTTCCAAATATAGTAAATCTAGCCTCTATTTCGTTAGCCTCCAACGCTGACGCTCTTTGGGCTCGTCACGCAATCTTCATGCCCAGCGTGAGGGAGGAAGATTGCGTGACGAGCCCAAAGAGCGTCTCCATAACAGGCTACTATTTCGTTGCTCTTTGTTTAAACCTCGCTTTCAAAGAAACCTGGGGCCTTGTGGAAACAGAAGGTCGGCATCGAAAGCTGGCTGGGATCCAAGAAATCAGGGAAGAATGAGGCGAACCTGATGTCATGGTAGACGGTGATGTTACTAGTGGGGGTGGGCTTCTGTTGAATGTCGTGCGAAAACGGAATGTAGCGACCATCCCGGAGGCTGATCAGTGTCCACCTCTCGATGGTCACCTCCTCTGTCTTGCTGTGACCTCCTGACTGCCACATACACCCCTTCAACGTAGCATTGTCCATTTTGACGGAGATCATGGACTGGTCACACGTGAAGTAAGGTGGCACCCCAAAGCGCGGGAAAGTTACGCGGGAAGTCAAGCTGCAGTTCTTCTCGAACCAAGCTGCGTCGAACTAAAATGAAAATGAATTGGATTGAGTTAACTTCAAGGCAGCACAAAAACGTATATGCACAGTAGAAAAACATTGCTGTCACAGACCGTTTATTCCGCAATAATTTAGCAATCGTAAAATGTCTCAATCAGTTGGGTGAGGGGTAGTCCACAGATACTCAATCGAACCGCTTTTTGATGTTAGCGCAGACGTGATCATTCATAAAGTGGTAATTACTGTTACCCGGTATCATGATTGACGCAGCGAAAAACACGTTGGTTACTTATAAGACATGAACTTCCTAGTTCGCGTGTTATTGTTATTGCATTGAGGGTGAGAAAAAGGGGATTTCTAAGAAAAAATTCCTGTACAGCACTTACTTACCGCAATAATAATACTGATGTTAACTGACTGCCTGGCTCTGCTAGCCCCTATGGTTATTCCAGGAAGCTAGTACTCAAATTATTACTTCTAATATTTTCATTGAAATTGTAATTTTTTCTGTAGCAAGAATGAGTACAAATAAAGATTTATTATAATAACTGCTAAAAAAAAATCGTGTGAATACACATCGAGCAAGTGCTTTCTACTGTCCAGGTCCTGTTAAAAAATTCTTGCACGAGCTATTGCCCACCAAAAAAGAAAACATCATGCCCAATTAAAAGGTGAGAAAAAAATTTCATTCCTAAGAAAATTGGCTAACCCTCTCCCCCACCCCCNAAATTGCCCAGTACACCCCCTACCCCCCTTCAAAAAATAGAATGGTTTGCGCCGTACTTTTCTTGAGCTATTGTTGAGGTAGAAGATAAATATCTCGGTATTCTTTTACTCAAGGCTCTAAATACGTGTTAGTATACCTGGATAAAGTCGCCGAAGTCAATGTATCGGAACGGGAAAATAAATCGGGTATTCCAGGTTGTTCCTACGATATCATGGCGCTGTTCCCCAGCGGTAGCATTCTGCTGCATGTCACCAATGATTGTCACGTTCGTGCATTGTTTGTTGTCGCATGTCGTGACGGTCTCGGTGTAGAATGTAGAGAACACGGCTGGGAATGGAGGGGGCAGCTCGTATTTAGCGCACGGGTCCTTTACGGTGCTTGGGCAGTTTGGACCATAAAAGCACTGGCACCTGCATGAGATAAGAAACGGAAGAAAAAAACACGAATTCACTCTTTTTTTATTTAACAGAAAAAAAAAAGAGCCTAAGCCGTGTATTACACTGTGATAAAACACGACGGCCATTTGAGATTACGAGGGAAATGTAGAAAACACGAGCCGCAGGCGAGTGTTTTCTACATTTTTCGAGTGTTTTCAAATGTCCGGAGTGTTTTATCACATTGTAATACACGGCTTAGGCTTCTTTATTTGCTTTATGATATAGAGGTAATGTGACGAAAAACAATAAAACACGCTTTTTCTATGTTTTATACTCTGATAAAATATGGGTTTTCGACCAATCAGAGCGCGCGCAGGGTCATATCTATATTATAAAAGAATCTGTTATATGGCTAGCTCCGTGAGCGGGCAAGATGAATCAAATTCTGTGCTGTGATTGGCTATCCGAGCGGGCAAGATGGAGCTACCTTGTGCGCTCGGGACTACCCGCCGTGTCCCGCAAGCAAAATTTCCCAGAAAGCCATATAATAAATCCTGTATTGACCAAGCTTGTTCGGCCAAGATGGCTGGATATTGGCCTCGTTCTTTTTTGCGTGTTTATGTTTGCGTGTTTATGGCCAATATTCAGCCATCTTGACCTCACACTTGGTCAATAACCCAAATATATTTTAAAAGAATATCGAGGCTGAAATTCGCGAAATTTTTTTAAAGTATTTTAAGAATAAACCCGAGGCTAAGATTTTCCAAAGAATGGAGTTGAAAATTTGTAAATACAATACAATGATATGTTTTTAACCAAAACGGTATAAAATTCTTCCTTTCTCTAAACGGGAAAACTAATCAAAAAGCAAAACAGCACTAGCCGTACGTTCGATGCTAATCATCTCTGCAAGGACTTACAATGATGTGCGTCATATCAGGCCTTAATGCCTGTAGGCTGGCTCCAAAGTTACTGTAACACCATCCAGACACCAAATACATTCGAAAACAGAAATGTCACACGCTACATTCTAGGAATATTCACAGAAAAATCATGAAGAATATTCAGCCTCGGCCGGAAAAACAATACTCTTATTTTTTCCTACCATTTCGTCCAGTTACAGAAGACTTAGGCATGCAATCAGAGAGAGATGATATTCGGCATGACACGTGTGACACGTCACTTTTCCTGCGCTTACTTTGCAGGTCAGGTGTGCTTTACCATATGTTTAAGCTTCAAGTCATATTGTTTTAGTTCGCGTACTGACCTTGTATTAGCGGGACATTCGTGCTTTGTTTGGTTCATTGTTTTGGTCTTGCTGTCGTAGACGCACTCATACCATCCTGTCAGGTCCTTATAACAGTATCGCCCCGGAGGACCCTCGTCGCAGAAGGTCCCAGATGACACATCCACATCGAGCACCAACAGAAAAAGAGCAGCCACAAAGAGGAACTTCAGGGACATCTTTCTGATGAAAGAATTTACTGAAAAATTAGCACCTCCAGCAGTGGAGTCCTCGCAGTGAAGAGTTGTTTCTTTTATCGTCCGCTTTGCTGAGGATATGATGAATGAAGGAACCTGAGCGGGCGAACCTAACGAACGAACAAACGAAAGCATAGACGAACGAAGGCAAGCGAACGACTAGCGAGTGGACGAAAGAGCGAGCGAACGAGCCAACCAACGAAAGAATAACGTGGAATGAACTAAACATTAACTCTCGTGGCGGGTTTTCTATGTCCTTTTTATTCGCAAACAGGAATTAAAACGCTACTTTCTCTTAATTTGTTTAGCTACTATTAGTTTTGTTTAAGTTTATCGCTGAATCATCACAAACCATGCATTAGATAATACATTGAATGAAGTACCGACAATTTATACAAAGTGCTTGTTAGAGATGTTATATTTAGGCTTAAATTGTTTACTTGGTGGTTTCAATTTCTAATCAAGAGCTTTTAGCTGAACTTCACAATGGTTCCACCCGAATAAAGTTTCATTAAATTACAGTATTTAGCGGTCAAATGTTCTCTTCCGCTATCGATTACTAAAAGCAAAATTAATGTATTTTTGTTTATCTGTTTACCTCTCATGTTTACTTTGAGTTCGACGAAAGAGATCACGAGGCAGTCCTCTCTTAGTTTTAATTGAGGACTTCCTTTTGACTATAAAGCGACTACGTACGTTGAAGAAAATTTAGACAAACTGGAATTAAAAGGCAGCAGCTGCTTTAGAAAAACCCTGCTTGAGTAAGGCTATTTAAATGACCAGTATATTGACTGTACATGACGAATTTTGGCGTTAAACGGAAAAGAGAACAAAGAAATTATTCTAAATCACCAGGCCAGTGAAATGGGTGTGACACA